AGCGGCGGCGTATTAATTTTTAAGCAACGAGGCATAGCAAAAATAAAGACTACGTATCTAATTACGCGTATTTCAGTACAAAATAAGCACGTGGTTGTAGAGATATTTCGCGTTGCGGATGGTAGGTTTTGCTGGGATAGGCCCGGTTGTTTTGATTTTCCGGTTTTGTCGGTAGCATGGGAGGAGGGCTGGACAAAGGACGGTGGATGAGACGAGTTTGCGGGGTAAGGACAGAATAGTCCAGTCTCCGTTGTCCCCGGTATGTGATTAGCACGTTTTGCGAGGCTCAAGAACGTTAAGACGCCCCCCTGGTCCTGTTGCCTCGGGACGATCTTATCAACGGTATTATGGTGATCAAGCCAATCAGGAGTAGCACAAGGAATCACGTTCGATGTCACTTGACTCGTGTGCTTGGGTCTGGCCGAATTCCACGTATGTCGCAATACATTCCTTTACGGAACGACTGAACGGTGTGCATGATTGCGCAGTCTTGGGGCGTACCAAAGCTACCTTATCTTCTTTTCTTTACGTGCGCAACCCGGAAAAGAGATTGTCCTTTCCAAGTCTCATGAAGAATTAGTACTTGGTGGTTGGTGTGCAATGGCACATGAGGACCGCAATTAACATTCACCAAACTGAGCTTTTGCCTCATTCCCAATTCCGAGGCTGTGCACTCAAAGCTTTCCTGTTCTATGTAAGTATCCTTGTTTCGTGTTGACACCAGCCTTACAGTAGCGTGGTGGCAAGCAAAACTTGACAGGCATTGCAGACCGAACAACCCCTTCCTTCGTAGCTCCTAAACAACGTCCGGAAATATCTAAGGCCAAACTCGAGGTTCGATTGGGCTGGTTTTTTCAACCCTTGCGAGAGCTGCCAAAACATTTCTCTGACACTAAATCCTTCACACACGTGGATTTACTAGCATCAGTTAGTTTACGCCCGTAATTTCGGGCCTGGGGTTACCAGGCGAAAGCCGTTGGGACCTGTGTGTGTGTGTGCGAGCGGCTGTACCCGGTCAAGGGATGCATGCTTCGTATTTGTGCAGTATCTTTGCCGTCTTGTGGTCAAGCTGTATGGTCATGTCACATTTCTTGACGAAAAGTCTGCCAGACTTTGTTTCATTGAGAAGTCCGTTCACCCCTTCGTATATCTTTCGTTGCAGAAGTGATGGAAGTATATGTAAATACGAATACTCACCATAAACTCGCATTTTGCAATGGCTACTGCATTCATTCACCATGGGTTGTATGGGTGGTGACACTACACTCTCCAAATCTCATCCAGAATTTCGCCGGACGCTCCGAGGTGGTGTTCTTGGCACTCCTGACATGAGGCCACAGGATTGCGCTAACATCCCTGTACTAATCCAACATGTGGGTCGCATGCGCCAATGGTTACGGCGGTTGTCGTGTTTCTGATGCATGTCCCTCCGTCTTCAACATGGAATACACTGTAAACTAGTTGTGTCAAAACCTGAATTATGTGGATTCCTGTGTGCCAGAGATAATCGCGGGTAGGGGTGATCGGATGTCAGTGGAACAGCTGCTGGATATAACTTGGGATCCTGCCTTAATGCCCCGGTGCTATAGAGTCCTATTCGTGAGCGTAATAAAGGTCGCATTTTTATACCTCGATGAAAAGCATTGAGCGTCATGGATGAGTCGATGCATCCATCACGCAATGAGCGCCAGCGGCGACTTATCTTAATCTGTGTCTCAGCAGTTACGACAGTTCTTGGAGGTATGTGCAAGCCATAAATCATGTCGAAACAGTCACTCACAAGAATCAGTATCATCTGTTGCTCTGCGTGTATACACGCGCAAATTCATTATTCGGAGTATGGGCCCAGATGACTGGGCCATGATTATGGCCACTGTATGTTGCTTGGAAAGCGACCATAAGAAGCTGCCTAATACGTACTAGGTACTCACTTTGGTGCACCTTTCTGAAGCTTTAGTTGGCGCGCTAGAGTTCAACATGGGTTTCAGGGCGTCGACCATGTCTCTGAAACAGGTGGGCGTCAACATCAGGGTATGCTTATTTCAGTTCCTAATCGGACTAGGCTAATGCACACAGCTCATTGTTGCCATGCTCATTGGTTACGCTGCCATTGTGACCTTGATCAAGATCTCCATACTCTTGGTCTACCGCAGATTAGGTTGGTGTAGTAAGCAACGTACATCCCAATCAAGCTGACCAGTCGCAGCCTACAACAAACGGTTCGAAGATATTTGCAAGAGGACCATCATTGTTCTTGCCACATACCAAGTCATTTTCACGATTGTGGCGGCTACCCAATGTATACCGCTGCGCAAGCTTTGGGACTTCACCGACACTGTCCCAGGCTACTGCATCAACAGGAATGCTTTCTATCATGGTATGACTCTCTTCTCAAGACCACTGTCACATGGTTGTTATTTTTCTTACTAAAAGGACACAGCATCATCTTCTTTCCACATAGTGATCGACATATGGATCCTCACTCTGCCCATACAACTCATCCGGCGCATACCCCGCAAACCACGCGAAAAGCTCGCATTGTACATCAATTTCGGACTGGGAGTTGTCAGCATGGTAGCTGCCATTGTCAGATTCCGATTTCTCTACCTCTTCACCACTTCTGACGATCCTATCTACGGCTTCGTCCCTGTCAATACATGGTCCATGGTCGAAGTCAACGTCGGCATCTTATGCGCAACCCTACCGATACTGAGGCCTCTTGCGATCAAAGTGAAGCACTATAGCAACAATAGCTCGCTCAATGTGTTCAGGAGCAATAGCGTGCTTAGTAACCGGATCAGGGCGAGTAGCTCGCTCAGTGGGCGCGGGACTAGCAGGACGACTGTTAGCATAGGGCGTGGAGATGGCAAGTCTCCAACCATGAATACAGGCTTAAGCACGCCAGTTACTCTACGCCCTCTGAGCCCAGAGGGCGTCCGAAATATCTTGCATAATGAAGGGTGGAGAGTGGACAATCAGTCGCCGCCGCCAGTGCCTCCAAAGGACGGCATGTTTGACTGGCGGCGTAGTCATACGCCTCAACGTCCAGCCGTGGTGCACATGAACTATAGAAGTCCGAGAGACATAATTTTTGAGGAAGACGACAAATATTTCAAAATATGAATACGATATTACGATTAATATTCTTGCTATGCGCCCTAGATCATTTGTTTGCCTATTCAAGTACGGTGAGCCTGCAATGGCCATCCCTGGCTCAAGCATTTAGTGTTTGTTTCGCAAGAAGAAGTGCAAAGATCAAACCAAAGATCTCGACACAGTCGAAGTAACAATCACGTGCTCACCGTTGACTCCAAAACTGTGCGCAAACGACTACTTCAATACGTCACGACATCCTGAACAAGACGCAGAATGTTCAACTCCCGATCAACTCATGATGTCCAGCTAGCGATACTTTGGTCAGGCGTGAAGTTGTGATATTTGTGCAACAAGCCACGCGCTCCGGCCCCCAGACAACGAGCCTAGGGGACCCGAGTACCCCCACAAACAGCGCTATACCGAATCCGAGCACCTAAACCCAGCTTCATCCCAAGTGTCGATTGGCTCAGAGCTTCAATGATGGATGTCTTGCAGCGCCGTTATGCCTCATGTTTGCTTTACCCTGTCCCGTGGCACAACCGATTGGACCAAGAGAGGTGCAGAGTTGCTGTGTCATGTACGTCCGCGCGGCCTTCTCGTGGCTTTGCCATAAGGCATTGTTGTTGCCTAGGGGATTGCCTCAGTCTTATACACGCCAAAAAGACGCCTCTGCTTCTCCAGACTCTCCATTCAAAAGTCATACATACTAAAGAAAACCCGGCTCTAAGCCCAGCCTTTGTAAATCACTAAAAAAAAACCCATTCTTGGGAATCAACATCATGGCTCCCACCCAGAGCAAGCTCGCCAGCTACGAACTTCCCCTTCGCATATTGACTCTTCTCACATCCCTCCTCGCATTACCCCTTCTCATCGCTACCACAGTCGTATCAATCCACAACTACTCCTGGTACCGCTACCGCCCCGTAACAGCCTTTTGCTTCGGGTTCATCCCGCTCGCTCTCACCGCTTTCGCATCAACCAGGAGCCTCGTACACCAAAGGAGATTTGGACGCATGCCCCAAGCAAGCTTCAAGGCTGTCGATGGCGTGGCATGCATCGCGTACTTGAGTATCCTAACTGCCATTTGGGCTGTTGAAATCGGGTACCTGGAGAGGCCAGGATTTGGGCTTTTGGCTGGATATACGACTGCACCTATGATTTTGAACATGTAAGCTCTCTTTCTTTTTTGGATTTGATACAATGGAAAAGGTCAAGTAAAGTGAAAGTGGCTGATTATTCGAAAACAAAGGTTCGTACATGGTTACCTCTTCGCTTGCAATGTGCGATCAATGGTCGCGCTTTTTGCGGCTCCACAAGTACATGAGTGTCCCAACTGCCATAGTAGCTTCACCACGCGCGCACCGCAGGTCCAGGAGACAAAGCAGAGTGGAGAGTATAGTTTGTTGCGTGGAGAAGACTACCTTGATGTGGATCCTGATGCAGAGCACTACACTGATGGTAGCTCCGGCCCTGCAGATGCGCAGATACTACGGCCTGAAAACGAGTCCAAGGGCGAGTTCAAGGGCGAGCTCAAGGTTGAGTTCAAGGGCGAAAGCAAGAAGGCAATTATCGATGTCTAAGCTTTCGGCTTTGGTCGGAGTATCAGATGGTTTGTGCTTAATGGGGGTTACTATTGCGGCTTTTCAAGACAAATTTTCGCGATGATGCAGGTAGTAGGTAAGAAATGTCGTGATGGAGTTAGTGGTGAGAGTGATGCTGGATGAGTTGCTTGCCAGATATACAGCCAGCCTTGCAAAACTGATAGGCAGTCTGAAATGTGACGCGGATGAAGAGGGAAGATGGAACTGTATCGTGCGTTACATTTGACATGTACAATAGAGATATCATATATACATCCTCATCCCCACAACCCACCGGAACTCCCATACCCACTGTATCTTCTATAAATAATGCCGTAAATTACATACATGCCATCACGCTTAGTAGACAGCCTTGCAGCCTTTGATTGCGGGAAATGTCTCATTCTGATCCCACTGTATTACTACGTTAGCCTTCATCTCTCATCACCGATCATACGCGGCTTCAACGGTTGACAACTTACGTGCTCAACAATGCATCCACCTTCCCACCTAAACCGATCCACGACATCGCCAAAGTCCGAGTCGTAGTTGACCCAGCTCATGGGAGAGATGAACGCATCGCGCTTGGCGGTTATGTTGGCTGTGTTCCAGAAGGGGGAAAGAACTTCCCATGCAGCAGTGGATCCATTGGCTACTTGTGGGTTGTGATTCTGCCATCGGTCGAGTCAGTCAACTGTTCGTTGTGGAGTCGCAGTCGGAATAGGAGATGAAAGCAATAGGACAACGTACAATATAATCCACCGCAATAAACGAAAATGCCTTGCTGATATCTCGCTGATAGATAAACGCCTGCGCAAACCGCTTGAATCGTGCTTCTGTCTCCTGCACTGTGACTTTGCTGTCACGCACACAAGGTGCGGGCTTGACTGGAGCAGCCTGGCGGGCATCTAGTGTGGGAGCGGCAAGGGCAAGCGGCGCAACGAGTGCTGAGACGAGAAGTGAAACGCGCATGTTGAAATTCTAGTCGATGGAATGTCCGAAAATGAGTCGATGGATTGTCCGAAAGTGATGGTCGTTTGAAATGTTTATCAGAGCGGATGATGCATTTCTGTAGTTGATGTGTTTCTGTGGTAGTAGCGAAACAAAGAGCACACAGGGAAATCAACTTTTATATCTCCACCACCATATCTCCCATCTCGCACAGGCCTAGCCTAGTCTATTGCTGGTCATTACTATACAACATGTATGTATGTGCGTGCTCAACCACACCTGCCTCCCAAATGAAGACCAGCACCAGGGAATACCCCTTGCCGCCCGTCCCTGCATCTACACACCCAAGGGCCCCACCGGCTTTATCCCGGAGCCCACAGTGTCACAAATCTCACCTATGATTCGCTGACCCGTCATCTTCTCGCGGCGAGCAGAAACAATCGACTTTTACCTGCTAATCTCGTCCCCGTAAGTATGTACGCGGGTCATTTTGCGGCTTACCGAAATTTAGAGGCGCAGCAACTCGGAAACACAGGGTTGGGGATTGCAAACAAGTCCGTAAGGTCAGCATCGCATGTTTCCGTAATTATGTACCGGTTGTCTGTACGTTGAGGTTGGGGGAGTGGCTCAGCAGGTGACGTACCTTTCCAAGTACTTCTATACGCGTGCACGGACTTGGACTTGTTCTGGACCAGCGCCGTTCTTCCCATCTGATAGCAGAACCCAATCTGGGAAGACATCTCGGCTGTGTTTGGGAATCGGAGTGTAGAAACGGCAATTCGTTGTTCGGTAAGCGTATACGTTCGGGCTACCACGTAAAAAACGGGCGCTAGGAGTGTGTTAGCGTGGCGCTAGGGAGTGAAGCACTGGCAATCACTCTTGGGGGATTAAAACTGCCGCCAGGATGAACAATGCGACTACGCAATGAAACCTGGGCTGTGTGCTTCTTACATGTCAGATATACATGAAAAACAATCCTCTTGCCTGGCAATAATTCCAGACGTTCTACAAACGCGACACCGCCCTCCACACTGCTTCAAGCCGTGCTGATGCTCAACATCCCTTCTACCCGGGCCCTATTCCAGTCCCTCCCCGAAGAATCTAGTGCAGTCTTGAACGATGTTCTATAGCAAAAAAAAAAACACCAGACCGCTACATATACCCCTCCACCCCCTATCAAACCCTCAAACCCGCCAAACCAGCCCCAAAAAACCCAACCAGGCAAACATCCTTACTACTCCGAAACAACACCCCCTCGGAGCCATATCACCGCCCCATCCCACCACCCACGCATATCCCGCTCCCCCCATCGAACATACAAAATAGAGAGAAATAGCATACACTCTCTCCCTCTCCGCCCCACCTCCTCCTCCACCTCCCCTCTACACACTCTATCAATACAACCCGCCAAGCCCATATAACCATACTCAACCAAACCCACACCAACAGCCGGCACTTGCACCCACCCAATCACCTTCCCCGCCCGCCCGCCCCCCCCGTCCCGTGATTGTCGCGTAAACAACCGCACAATCGCACATTCAAGCCCAGCCCCGCCGTGCCTGTGCGACATACGTAGAAAAAAAGGCGTGGTGCAGACCGGCACTTTGACCCAAGTTGGCGCGGTTGTTGCTTGCGTTTTGCGGTGTTGCTTGCCGTGGTGAAATAGACCAGAACAGAACAGAATAGAACAGGTAGGTAGAACCTTTACTTTACGTGTAAGAATAAGAAAGATTGGGTAGTTTGGGTGTGCGTGTGATTCCGGACGTTGAGGTGGGTTGGAAAAAACATGGGGGACAGGGGAAGAAGAGGGGGGGGGGGGGTTGGTAAGAAGGGCAAAAAAAAGGAGCAAAGGTTTAAACTAGGAATGTTTGTTGGATGATGGGGAAAAGGTTGAAGGAGGGGGGATTTCTGAGGTTCGAGATGGGGGATGGGTAACGAAGTATTTGAAGTGATTTGGGTTTGCGTTATAAACTATGTACACGTTCTATGCATTTCCACCTAAACCGAAAACATATGTACAAACTCTCTCCTCCCTCTTAACCCAACCACCCTCGACCCCAAACATGTACATTTCCCCAAATCGTCGAGTCAAAAAAAAACAAAAAGAATAAAAGAAGAGTATATAGTATTAGATTTAAAATAAACGGCTGATATGTAAACAAGTTCGCTCGGGTATGTTTTGTGTTACAAGGCAAAATCAAAAAAAAAGGTTCGAAAAGAGTTCATCGCTTCATCCCTCAATCCCACATACATCCCCTTCCCTCTCACCCCCTCTCTTCCCCATGCAACTCTCACATCTCTTCAATGAAACATCTAATACCTCAACTTGCCCAATAGGCTAAAGCAATACGCACACTCCCTCTCACTCTTCATCTGAATCATAAAGACGCGTGCGCGCGCACCCAGCACGCCGCCCGTCTTGCTAACACCGCCAATCTGGCCGGCTTCGTCGACATTGTCTTCCCACACGCTGACTGCTATGCCGCTACGGGCCACGCGCTCAAAGCACGTCTCGGACAACTGCACGTCAAGAAGGAGCTCGCCGTGTTTCTTACCCGTTAGCACAATCCGTCGTTCCTGGCGATGGTCTCGTGTACCAGGGGCGCGTTGGCGAGAGTTGGTGGGCGACGAGGGCATGCTGGGGTTGGGCGAAGGCAGCATAATGGTTAGCCTGGCGCTGCCCATGTCACGCCATTTCTTGAGCGACTCGCGCTCGTAAAGCCGGCACTTTGTGTTTGTGATGCCAGGTGGCGCACCGGGTGCTCGAGTCATATCACCGGTGGGGGTTGAGGCGCCTGAACCTGGCCGAGAGTTGGAGCCGCTGTCAAAGGATGAGCCGGTGCTGCGTGATCCCAGAGTTGAGTTGCGGATGCTGAAAACGCCATTCTTGCCAAACGAAAATCGGCCCAGCGCTGAGCGAAGGGCGCTGTTCATGGTCCCAACTGAAGATTCAGTGGCAGCCGAGACAGAAGCGGCGCGTGTGCTTGACTTTCGGTAGCTACTTCTCCTGCCCAGTGTGCCTCCGATCCATCCAGAAGGAGTCTCGCTGCTTGTCCTAGCTGCGTTTTGGCGGTCCATTGCTTCGGCCCAGCTTGATTGTCCGTAGGGGCCGCGTGCGTTCTGCAGCGCAATGTACGTGGGATTGTTGATACGCGCCTGGTTGATCATGGAGTACAACTGAGTGCATTCAGTCGCATTGCGACTCCTCAACATGATGTTATTTCCAGGTTTGAGACGCGATTCCCCAGTGGGCGGGGAACGAATGGAGATATCAATAGCCGTTGACTTGCGCAACGGTACCAGAGGGGTAAGCTCAACCGCAATAAGGGGAGCACTTCCCTCGGGAGTGATGATCTCGTCGCCATCAGCAAGGAAAGGTTTGGAATGATTGCTTGAGATTTCGAACACCTCAATCTTTCCTGGTGTGACGACAATACTACATTCGTCGGGATGCAGGCTGTCCCATTTGCCCTGATCAGACCAAGCAAACAGGGACGCTATTGTGCGTGAGGCCTTTCCAGAGTTTTGCGGAACCGTCCGGTAAGGCGAGTTTGATGCGGACTGGGAAGGAGTGATGGTGCCATTGGGAAGGGTATAGATGGAAGGTGGCGGTGACACCTTGGGGAACTTCTTCGTATCCTCTTCTGTTTTCTCAGCCGTAGTCGGGCGGCTGGGCTCTCGAACCGCAGTTTGTGGGCGCGAAGTGTATCCGCGGGGTCCGATATATCCGATTGGCATCAATGGCATGGGAACATCATCATCTAACTCGTCCTCAGATGACTCAGAAGTAGCACTCTCCTCCTGTTCCTCGCCAGCTTCCTCTTCGGATTCAGAGTCCTCCTCGCTTTCACTCGACTCTTCCGTGCAGGTCGATGGCTCATACTCGTGCTTCAGGGGTGAAGATGAACGGCGCTTGCCCCTGAAGCCAGGTAGTGTTGGTAGAAGTACGGGAGTCTTGGAGCCCTTTAATGTCTCAGGGCTTGCCGGGCTGGGGGAGCGATGTGGTGGAGTTGGTGGGGGCGGCACATCAGTCGGAGCCTCTGGCTCTTGAATATCCTCAACCGTGATGCTGTGCTTCTTCTGGTGCATCTTGGGAGGCGCCGAGGCCACTTCACGAACATTGTCGGATTCTACACGTGAATCCTCAGAAGGTGTGGAAGGACGGCTTGACTTTCTTTGTCTGGGAATGCTGGGGAGTTCCAGAGAAGGCACAGATGAGACCCGCCTGTGTTGTTGCGGACGTTGGGGTGAAGGTGGGGAGCCAGGAGGAGAAAGCTCTGACTCTGGGACTGTGCGTTTGTCTCCTTCGGAAGAGTCCGAGTCTGAGTCATCAACCTCAGAGGTTGGCATCCAGACACTGAAGCCCTTGCTTGACTGTGAAAGCGCCGATGGCGCAGACGGAAGCGACTGGGGTCGTCGCTTTGTGGACTTTCTACGGGGCTTTGGGAGTTCCTCGGCTGGTTGAACATCCTCTAGTTCAGTGGGATCATCCAGTGTGATTTGGCGAGATGGACGTCCAGAGTGTGCAGATGAAGGGTTCTTGGAAAGTCTCTTTGCTCTTGTTCGTTTGAGGCTTGATGGAGAACCAGTGTTGGCCATGCGCACTGCTTCATCGAGGCCGCGAGGTGTCCGGTCAGCATCTTCGTAGGTCTGACCTGTCGGGAACATTTGTTCAACCGGAGTACGCGGCTCTGCTTGGGCGACGTCCTTGGCGTCATAAAGACTACTGTAGGAGGCATCGCCGCTCGGAGGCGTAATGGGCGACACGGTTCGTGACTGATTTCGCTTGTGTGGGGTATCGTAGTGCCATACTTTTGATACTTCCGTATGTCGCTCGCCGATAGGAATATCAATCTCATGTGGGCTGGGGGTTCGGCTCTTATCAAGTGTGGTTGAGCCTGTTGCATGAGATGGGGAGGACGAGCCATGGCTGCTTGTTCGCTGTGCTTGACTGGTTGCGGCTTGGATTTTCCTGACTTCGGACATTTCGGGAGGGATGGGATTGAGTCCAAGCATCTGTA